AGAAAAAGAACTCAAGAATACAATACCATTCACAATCGCAACAAAAAGAATAAAATACCTTGGGGTAAATTTAACTAAGGAAGTGAAGGACCTATATAATGAAAATTACAAGGCCTTCCTGAGAGAATTGGATGACGACATAAGGAGATGGAAAGACATTCCATGCACATGGACTGGAAGAATAAACATAGTTAAAATGTCCCTTCTCCCTAAAGCAGTCTACAGATTCAACCCATCCCAATCAGAATCCCAATGACATTCTTTACAGAATGAGAACAAAGAATCCTAAAATTCATATGGGGCAACAAAAGACCCCGAATTGCTAAAGCAATCCTGAGAAAAAAGAACAAAACGGGAGGCATCACAATCCCTGACTTCAAAACATACTACAAAGCTACAGTAATCAAAATAGCATGGTACTGGTACAAAAACCAGTGCACAGATCAATGGAACAGAATTGAAAGCCCAGAAATAAAACCACACATCTATGGACAGCTTATCTTCAACAAAGGAGCTGAGGGCATACAACGGAGAAAAGAAAGTCTTTTCAACAAATGGTGCTGGGAAAACTGGAAAGCCACATGTAAAAGAATGAAAATTGACCATTCTTTTTCACCATTCACCAAAATAAACTCAAAATGGATTAAAGACCTAAAGGTGAGACCTGAAACCATAAGCCTTCTAGAGGGAAACGTAGGCAGTACACTCTTTGACATCAGTATTAAAAGGATCTTTTCGGACACCATGTCTTCTCAGACAAGGGAAACAATAGAAAGAATAAACAAATGGGACTTCATCAGACTAAAGAGCTTCTTCAAGGCAAATGAAAACAGGATTGAAACAAAAAAACAACCCACTAACTGGGAAAAAAATATTTGCAAGTCATATATCTGACAAAGGCTTAATATCCATAATATATAAAGAACTCTCACAACTCAACAACAAAAAATCAAACAACCCAATCAAAAAATGGGCTGGAGACATGAACAGACATTTCTCCAAAGAAGATATACGGATGACCAATAGGCACATGAAAAGATGTTCATCATTGCTGATCATTAGGGAAATGCAAATCAAAACTACACTAAGATATCACCTTACACACATTAGAATGACAAAAATATCTAAAACTAATAGTAACAAATGTTGGAGAGGTTGTGGAGAAAAAGGAACCCTCATGCACTGCTGGTGGGAATGCAAACTGGTGCAGTCACTACAGAAAACAGTATGGAGATTGCTCAAAAGATTAAAAATAGAACTACCATATGACCCAGCCATTCCAGTGCTGGGCATCTATCCAAAGAGCTTGAAGTCAGCAATCCCAAAAGGCCCATGCACCCCAATGTTCACTGCAGCATTATTCACAATAGCCAAGACGGGGAAGCAACCTAAGTGCCCATCAACAGACGAATGGATAAAGAAGATGTGGTACATATATACAATGGAATACTACTCAGCTGCAAAACAGAACAAAATCATTCCATTTGCAATAACATGGATGGACCTTGAGGGAATTATGTTAAGTGAAATAAGCCAGTTACAGAAGGTTAATCTCTGTATGACTCCACTCATATGAGGAATTTAAACATGCAGACAAAGAGAACAGATTAGTGGCTACCAGGGGAAAGGTGGGGTGGGGGGTGGGCACAAAGGGTGAAGGGGTGCACCTACAACACGACTGACAGACAATAAAGTACAACTGAAATTTCACAAGATTGTAACTTATCAACTCAATAAAAATAAAAATATAAATAAAGACCAAATTTGGGGATTTTAAAAGAATGGAAACTAAAATACTAGGCAATGTTAATATATAAAATGAGAGGGTGTGATCAGAGTTAAAGCATTCTAAAGTCCTTATATTGTTTGGATGGAGGACAAAGATTTCATTGTGCCTTGTTAAGTCAAGCATACACATTGAATTTTAAAAATAACTGAAAGATAGATGAATCAGACATTGACTCTGTCACCATGGAGTGTCCAGGCTCACAGAGGAGATGAGACCGGTACAAAAGTAATTCAAATCCAAGGTTCACAAATTTCAAAGTTATAGATGCCAGATCAGGAGCACTGTGAGCATGCATCTCTGATGTCAAGTTCCTTTCAGCTCTAAAATTCTATGCTCTTTAAGGGGGACGAGACATGGAGTAGATTGGTATTGGTCTGGGAAGTTCAGGTTTCTGAGCCTGTGGGTTCTTGTGACAAGGTTCCCAGCATTCTAGGGCCCCTGTGTTGTTTGGGAGGAGGGTAGAGTCATGTGTTCTCTCCCTACTCTTCACTTCGTGAGTGGAGTCTGCAGAAGATCTTTGGAGTCAGAACCAATTTCATGTTAGTATGCCACTTTTTTTCCTTCAGTGGTTCCTTCAGGAAACTTCTGGTGAGAAAGTAAGTGGATGAGCGTGTGCTACGCCTGTAGGTAATAAGGAATGCATTTGGCTCACGTCCTACACACTGCTTCAAGTAGCTACATCTCCTTTTTCTGCCCCTCAGTGACTTCAGCCTCCACCACAGTCCCACAGCCTTGCCCCAGTGCCCTTCGTTCAGCTTCCAGGGTTCGTCTTCAGCCCCAGCCCATCCTATTCCCAACTGATTCGAAGGACGCAGGCCCATACATCATTGATGAGCGGACACAGCTGCTTGGAGATGCTGCAAAAGACCACCTTGATGTCCTCTCCCTGCCCATGGCAGATGATGTTCCACAGACACTTCACTGCCTGCACTGTCACTCGTACCTCATTCTTCAGGAGGTCTCGCAAGAAGGAAGTCTCGCAAGAAGGAAGTCTCGCAAGACGGGAACCAGGCTCTTCAGAGACTCTGACTATTTGGGAGAAGGCAGAGATCACTCATCACCTGGGGATCATGCAACACTTTGGGGACAGGGCTTTGAGAAAAGAGATGATGCCTAAGAGAAACAGACATGGGGAATCTGGGGGCTGGACACGCCGAGGAAGTGGAAGGCTGGCGCTCAGGAGATTCAGGAGGCCTGACGGCCCGTCTACGTAAGTCTACAAACTGAATGCTGTGCTGCCCTAGGATGAGGAGTTGGGGGATATACTAAGCCCTGGATAACTAAGAGGCTCAAGGGAGGTAAATTAAATGCTTCAGGGACTAACCTTCAATTCCCACTTGGTGCCCCCCACCCTTACTTGTCCTGGGTGCAGTGTCAGGTTACTGATTCCATGGAGCCCAATTTCTTTCATGACGAGGTTGGGCTCCTTGATCCACTTGATTAGATTGCCCAAAAAGTCTTGCCCCAGAGTCTGAGCCACTGATTGGTGCCAGAGGAGCTGTGGGTGCGAGGAGACTACAGCTATGGATGGAGAACAGGTCATGGGAACCAAGTACCCGCCTCAGCCCTCCCTCAGGCCCCATACTCAGGTAAGGACTGTGTCCAGTTGAGAGCAGGGGCAGACTGCTTGGTACACATAGGTGGAGACTAAAGTGACAAGTAGGGGGATAATGCTGAGAAGGTTTGAATCTCAAGCCAGATGCTGGGATCCATGGATCATTCCAGGAGGACTAGAGCTGCTGACCCCTCCTCAGGCTTTCCCTGCCTCCTTTAACCAGGCCCTTGGACTGGCCGGGAAGGGAACTACACTTTAGATGGCTCCATTCTATTCTTTTCTCTTTCTGGGGCAAGTTATTTAACATTTCTGTTAGATGTCCTCCGCTACAGCAAATGAAAGGCTGGGCTATGGACCTCTCCCCGGGCTTTCACCTGCACAGTGAAGGCCCTGGCCAGGATCCTCCAATGATCATCGACGCTGTAGAGGAGCTTCCTGACAGGCTTCAGAATTCGGTGCAGAATGGCAGGTTCACAATTGTTCACAATGCTGCTAGGGTGGGACACAGGACGCCAAGAGTTGCTGGAGGGTGTTGGCAAGGAACCAGGGTACACAGGACAGGGAAGACATGAGGGCTGAGAGAGCAGGAGACAAGAAGGCTGGGAGATAGGACATTGCGGTCCAGGGGCTAGAGTGGTACAGAGGGCACTGGGGAAATCATCCCACCTTGTCAGGTCCATAATCCCTATGTAGAAAAATTGGGGGCAGGACAGGAAGTCCCAGCAGTGATGCTGATCTGCATAGACCACCACTCCATCATACGCAGCTGACAATAGCACCAACTTCACTACCTCCAGGGCACAACTGAAAGCCACCATCACTGGGTTTGTGAAAAGAAAGGGACAGAAGGATGGACAAAGCATTACGCCCTAGTTTGCACCCCTGTGCTGGCAACAGTTCCCTAATCTGGTAGCTGGATTCTGCTGTCCTGCAGGTGAAAATCCATGGCTCTATGAAACCCATTCCAATTGTCCATCCATGTACCCCTTCAACCCTGGCACTCATCCAACCACAGAGTCCTATGAAAGAGACCCTAGGGACATTTTAGTGCCATGGTTTTCAAATTCTGCTCTCCATAGCACAGAAGGAGGGTTAGGCTATCTCTTCACCTCCATACCCACCTAATCAGAATGTCTCTGCTTACTGGTTTTATTGGTTTTCATTTTCATATAAAATTTCATTTGACTAGAATGTCCTGAGGTTTAAAGAAAAAAAGTATGACAACCACTGATTTAGGAGTCCAACTCCCATTTTACAGATGAGAAAACTGAATTCTAGTAGTGACTTGCACAAAATGGCACAGCTAGTGACAAAGCCAAGCCAGCAGTCAACCAGATTCAAATGGCCACAACTGCATGGAGAGAATGACACAGACATGGTCTTGTCCGGTCATTTACCACCTAATTGAATCTCCTCATGTGCAGAGTTATAACCATGGATATGAACCACTGAGTGAATCAGTAGAAGAGTGCAGGCAAGAAAAAGATTAATGAGAGACTTGAGAATATGCAAGAATATTCTAGCACATGATGCTAGATATTCTTCCACTCTTCTGCTTTCTCTTTCTCAGCATTCCTAGGGGATCAGCATCCAGTTGTCCAGGGCCCTCAGGAATTAACTAGTCTCATTCCTCCATCACACAGGGGTTAGGCTTACCTAGTGGGGTCAAAGGGCTTCCTCTTGCCTCCTGGGCCCCCTTCTTTGCTGTAAACCACTATCTTTGTGGGAACATTTTGCTCAATCACCCAGTAGAGATGACATAGCACAGCCAGCAACAGCCGAGGACAGAGTTCTTGGACGGCCTCCTGGCATAAGGACCCTGATAGCATTTCACACAAGGCACATGCTACCTGGGAGAGGACACGATGGAAGGAGGGAAGCAGAATTGACCAGGCGTGAGTGAAGGCATAAAATGGTCCACAGTCCCACACACTGAGTCTCACCCTGCCCTCCCTGTCACTGCCCAAAGGGTGCAGCTCACTCTGACTCAGGCTTGTAAGAACCACCCAAAGAGTGAAAGCCCACCGCTCATCCCTAGAGAAAAGAGGGGGCCACACACATGCAACTTCCCTGACATTAAAAACAAAATGGGAACAAACTCCAAATTTTCAGCAGAAAATGATTTCGGACATACTTTGGCCACCCCAGTTTCAGGCAACCAAAGCTCCTCCATCCCCAACTCCCATGCCACACTCCAGCCCCAGAATCAGGAGATAGAAAAGATGATTAACTCTGAACGTCAATTTCCTGTCCAGAAAATGGGATTGATTTCTGCTCTTTCTACATCATGCAGCTCTTAGACATATAGGCGCAAAAAGGTGGGTAAAGTGCTCATTGAATGTAGGGTATTAGTGATTCCAGTGTTAACCTCTCCTCTTTGCTCCTCCCTAAGATTGGCTTCCATCCTGCAGCTGTCCCTTGATCTTCAGTTCTGCCCCCAAGGCCCCAAACAGTAATTCCTAGGCTCCCTCTCTTCCCTCATGCTGACCACCACAGGCTGGAAGGCCATCTTCCTCGTTTCCCTTCTGGAGTGGAGCTTTTCCAGGATGTCTATGAGCAGCTGCAGGACGTTGATTGTGGTCTCTCGCTGGGTGCCAAACGCCTTCCACAGGGCCAGATTGGTTCTGCAGGACCCAGGGACAGCATGTCATGAGCCCTAGTGACCATGCTCCTAGGACTAGTCTGGCCTTGGACCTATGAAGGGCCAGCTCTTAGGGTCTATAGGGAGTGAGACCAAAGAGGACTGGGCCAGAGGACATGGAGAGGAAGTTTGATTGACATCAAAGAGAAAGCGTCCCTGTGCAGTGATTGCTATGCTGGGCTTGGACTGGGGCAGGGGAGGGGTCATTGGGCTGGAGGATGTGCCGCCCCCCCCCCCCCCAGCAGTGGAGAGGTACCTATCCCAAGGGAGGGGCTTGTTGAGCAGCATGGGCACGACCATGTGGGTGTTGGTGCCTGCCAGTGAGCACGTAGGGTCTCCTCCTTCGTGCTGGGCTCCAGCGGCAAGTTGAGCCATTCCAGGATACCCTCCACAACTTCCTCAATCTACGGGGCAGAGCCAGAAGAGTCTCAGTAATTCTTTCTTTGCTTCTTTCCCTCCTCCTCCCTCTCTACAAATTCCCTAAACTCAAGGGACTTGGTGGCAATCCTGCCAGTGACTCTCTTCTCAAGGCAGAGTTCTGGAGTGCCAGAGGCCAGACCAGCAGGGGCCACGAAGGAACCCTAGAAGCTTATGCCAAGGCCCTTATAGCAAATGCCTGCCCATAGCCGCAGTGTCCAGAGGGGAGCTCCTGGGTTACTCAGGGGGCACAAGACCTTCCAGGAAGGATGGCAGAAGACCGGAGACACTGCAAGGTTCCCCTCCCAGCTGAGGTCAACTTCAACCCATGAAAGTGCAGGGACAGACAGCATTGGAAGCAGGGGGACCACAGGACTCTCATCTGACCCTCAGATCCTTAATATCTGGGCCTCTGGGAAGCCAGTTCACTGTAATGCCTCAAAGACACCCTCAGAGGGATCCTTCCATTTCTGGTACCTAAGCCAGGAAAGTCACCTAAATGAGTGGAGGCAACAGGTGTCAGAGGATTCAGACAGAGGAGGGCCTAGCTAGCACCTGCACCCATATAAAGGATGGCGGCACTCAGAGAGTTGCCTTTGTGACCCCATTTTAAAGGTTTGTTTTTTCAGTGAAGTGAGAAATGTGGATTTTATGCAAAACCTTCTTGTTTTTATATGTTAACCTAAGAGAAAATTTATCCAAAGGTCAGAGTCATTCCATGAGCTTGCTGGTTTGCAGTCTACAGCCTTATCCTTCACGGGGTCTAAGCTCCCTGACACCCCAGGGAATCGGGATGAATTTCTCTAACAAAGCTTCCTGTGCTCTGCCTGCTAGGCCCTCCAGCTGCCTAAACTCCTGTAAGCAATCGTCCTTAACTGAGCAACCAGCCCCCCAGAGGGGAGGCACTGCACTTATGAGCTCAGGATACACATGTCAGAGCTCAGTGGGACCGCAGAGAAAATCTAGTCCAAGCCCACATTTTAGAGGTGAGTGAATTAAGGCCTACAGAGGAGAGGGACTTGCCCAAGGCCTTTCAGCTGGTTAGTAATAGAGCCAGGCAAGAGCCCAGGGCTCCTGACTTGCAGGGCAGAGCTCTTGCCACAGCACCATACTACCTTTATCATGTCTCTGCCCCCTCCTTCATGACAGCACTCATCAGCTGGGCTGCAGCCAGAGATACCTTGGCTCTGCTGTCAGTCAGGTCCTCCATGGCTGTCAGCACCAAGGAGGTGAGCTGGATCTGGGTGAAATACTCTGCAAATGTCTGCAACAGAGTGGGATCAGGGTGGACACACCTGGGTCCCTTGCCCGATATAGCCTGTGCCATTCTTCCTAGTTAGGGTAGGAGGGAGAGCTTCTCTGCGGAACATAATGTGCTTTTGTCCTAGGCCTGTGCTGTCTGCCTAGCTCCTAGAAGACTCTTTCACTGTGGACAGTCTTTGGAGATGGGAGGGAGAAAACCCTGACCTTCGGTACAATATGGGGCTCAGATGTCAGAGGTTGCAGAGGCAGAGCACTGGGAGAGAAGGGGTGGGGCTAAGATCCTTAATGACATCTCTTTGAAGCATGGGTTGAGTCTACACATTGCTCACAAAGCATCTTTAGCATGAAGCAAATACTTCCGGGGGAGGAGTAAAAAAGAAGTATTAGGACCCATGATGCTCAAGGGGGAGCATGTGGCAGGAAAATTTCCCCAAAGAAAAAGGTCACATCCAGTAATGGAAGGGGAAGGGAGATGGGATAAAAGAGTCCCAGCCCAGGAGTCTCTGATACTGTATAAATGAGAGGCTCAGGCTCTCCCCACTTTGTCCCTAGCCTGCCCCCTCACCTTGGCAATCTCACAGATGTTGTTGTAGAACACGTTGGCACTATAGACTTCGCTCTTGCCCTCTTCTTCCCACAGACCCTGTTTCTTCCTTCCCGTCTCTGAAACAAAGACACCCGACTCCACCCCTCAAACACTCAGAAGCCATCTTGGGCTCCCCCGTTTCCCTCCTGCCTCCCACCTACTGAACTAAGTCAGCTTAGGGAGATGTATATCCCATGGAGCTGAGAGCAGAGGAATGGGCACTAAGACCAGGAATGGTGCGAGCTAATGTCAAAGGAACCCGCATTGCCTGCCTCAGAGCAGAGACAGAATTGGGCAAGAGTACGGGGTTCAGCCAGAGGGAGAGAAACTAATTCAAAAACTCTGCTTCCTGAATAGATATTTTGTCCCAAGAGGGTATCTGTAGATGTTTGGGGGCAGGTTCCTCAGTGGAAATGAGGTGCTCAAGTAACTTCTTGACTCTCACTCTCCTGGGACAGAGTATGTGGGGACGGCCAGGCCTAAGTGGGAGGCAGCGGGAGGGACAAGAGAAAGTTCGCCATATGCTTTTGTAGCAGGAGGATACAGTAGAGGTTGTAGACGGCCTGGGAAGACAGGAAGCAGATGTCGTCGACTGGGTCCTGGCAGCGCATGGCCAGCAGCCTTACCAAACGCCCCAGGCTAGTGAACTTGATTTCCGTCTGAGGAGGAGAGCTGAGAGTCACAGGTTATCCCAGCCACCCCCTTCGGCTGGGAGGAATGACAGGAAAAGAACTAGGAAGAGGGGATGCATGTGCCAGAGACATGAGAGGTGAGACTAGGTGAGGTTAATGGGAAAGGAATTAGGTGGGTGAATTGTGGCTACAAAGGACACAGGAATCACAGTTTTGGAATGACTCTATATTGTCCCTCTTCTTTGCCTCTGGACACTCCATTCATCCTTCAAGCCTCGCTCAAATGCCTCCTCCTCTGTGAGGTTTTCCTTGATCCCCCCACTTGGAATCATTTGTGTTTTGATCTTTTATTCCCACCACATTTGATTTGTACATTCATTATTACCCTCTATTTAAATGTGTTCTATGCATGCCTCTCTCCCCAGTGGACTGTAAGATCCATGAAGTCAGGGAACTGTCTTGGTCCTCTATGTATCCGGTGTAACACCTAGCACAGTGCCCGGCACAAGGTGAGTATTCAGTAACTGCCTGTTAAGATGAATGGAATCAAACTGAACCAAGTGGAATGGAATTGGTGGATGGAGAAAAAGACCAAGCAGAAGATGTCAGAAGGGAGAAAGGAAAGAACAAGATGGGATGCACAAGAGAAAACAGAGGATGGAGTCAAGGAGATGGAGGATAAGGATGAATTATTAAGGCTAGGTAATACATGTGATAAAGTTTGGGATAAAGGTAGGGATAAGGGTGACCAGAGGGGGCAGCAGGGCCGGCCCAGGCTCTAGGGCAGGCTCCCACTCACTTCAAAGTTGTTCATTTTTGCAGTAAAACCAAGGATACAGGCAGTGCACCACATGGCCCGTTCTCGTTCATTGTCCTTCTGGGAATTCAGCCATGTGTCCAGAAGCTGGAAGGAGAAAAGAATGAAAGGAGAGTCTTGTTTAGCTGCAACCCAGAGGGTAGAAGTGTAACCTTAAACCTGGCTTTTGCAAAGTATCAGGGCAAGACTTCTGAGAACAGGATTTTATTTGCCTAGAGGCAGATTATATGTGTGGGTCTGGCACCAGAAGACTTCATTCCTCTAGCCCCCAATCTTGCCCTTATCTAGGTGCTAGAAATCTCCTCAATTAGTACCTCCTTCTTTCAGGTTAAAGCCATGGCTCTCAAATTATATGACTGTGATTCACTTCAAAGGGTCAACATACCCCAGTGTCTCCCTACCCACTGCTTCCCATTCTTCAGTAGAAAGAGAACTTAGTGATAACACAGAAGCATCGCAGTATTCACAGATTCAAGGGTGAATTATGTTTAAATCTGCTTGAGAAATATAATTATGGATGATTCCTACTTGAAACACAATGTATAAGTTTCCCACCATTAGTAAATTATGGGCCCAAAATGCCACTGATCCAAAGATGCATTGCTACGTGTCAGTCTACAGCAATCAATCTGACAATGATGCAGCCAAACAAACAGCGATTTATAATTGAAAAGGGGAAAAGCAGCAGATGAAAAATCCACAACCAAATCAAGAGAATACTGACGCTACACTAATAACAAAAAACACTCTTCATGAAGATATGAGGAGTTCTCCTGGGAGCTCTGCAAGTCCTCCTTGCAGCCAAACTCTGATGAAATACCCCAGTGCTAAGACTGTGGTCTCTAAATGCCATTTTTCAATAAGAGGAATCAGAACTCCTTGTAAAAACAGTTGATTCCAGGACTGAGACAGAAAATATACAAGATATTGTATTGAAGAGCAAGGAAGCTATTGAAGACTATTGGAGTCATGTAGAGGGATTCAGGAGCCAATCTGAAGAGGCCCCCTTTGACCAAAGATGGAAGAATTTAAGCATAAATAAGAATAATAGTTGTAATTGATTAAAACACATAAAACATTTTAAAATTCATTTTAAATTCAAGGATACTAGAGAAATAACATCACTGGTCACTTTTGGAGAATACTAGGAAACAATTAATTACTTTGTAAACTGTTAAAGGGAAAGGATCCAGCATTTATCTTGTCTTTTCTATATGAAAAGCTATTCCTCAAGGTAATCACATAGTCTTTAAAGGTGGTTTCACTT